CCACCAAAGCTTCTGGTGGCAGCGTCCGCATGCGGTTCCAGCTTCCATTTCCGCGAGCCCCTCAGACGTTTTGTGGCCCCATAGGGAGCTCCACCGATGGCCTCAGCGGCAGCGCCCGCATGCGGTTCCACCCTCCATTTCGGCGAATCCATCGCACGCTCGTGGCTCCATAAGGAGCTCTACCGATGGTCCCAGCGGCAGCGCCAGCATACGGTCCCACCTCAATGTCAGTGCACTCTCACACCGTTCATGGCCCCATATGGGGGCTCCACCGAAGCCTCTGGCGGCAGCGTCCGCATGCGGTTCCAGCTTCCATTTCCGCGAACCCCTCAGACGTTTCGTGGTCCCATAGGGAGTTCCACCTAAGGCCACAGTGGCAGCGCCCGCATGGCGGTCCCGCTGCATTTTGGCACACCCTTCACGCGCTCCGTGGCCCAATAAGAAGATCCACCGACGGCAATGTTCACAACGCCGGCACCCACAGTTGCATATGGTTGTGCCCTTCGCCAGGCTAATTTTTGACTCGCCATGTCTTGAGCTTCGTAGGCGCCATGTTGGCTGACTGATTTTGACGTGCGCGCGCCACGACGGGCGCATGTGCCTCCTTGCAATGTTTTTTGCAACGGGTTCCTAGCAACATTATTTCGTAGCTCAACGCATGTGCATCGCATGGCATTGTTTGGCAGGGATGACGTGGGATCGATGCTGAAGGATGCGACTGAACCATTTCTAATTTGGAGTACGAAGTGACTAACGGGAAAGTCCAGCCTGGATGGGGGAGGGCCGTATTTTTCCGCAAATATAACCTGTTGGGCAAGCTAGGTGGCGCATTCCGTTTGGTGCAAGCTATGTTGTGCAATTGGTTTTGGCCCATTCCTGAGTTGTCAATACCACTGCTCGCGCAAACATCCCACCCTCCCACCCGCAGTTTTGCAGAATCCATTCGGCCACGATTTAAATCGCAGCTTGCGAATCTATGCGGCCGCGCTGGCGCGAGCGCCCGCGCGCAGGGCGACCAGTTGTTTTGGCACAGCCGATGCGGCCGCAATGGCGCTTTCCGACGGGAACTTCCTAGCGCGTTGGAGCGGCTGCGCTGGCGCGCGGGCGCTCCAGTGCGTGTCGATGACTCGGGCGGGCGCGGTATCATTATGGCGCCGACAACGGCGGCCACGATTCCGATAATAGCGATGGTGGTTGCGATGCTGACGGTGACCACGGCAAGGCCAATGACGGCGCAGGTGCTGGTGACGACGGTGACGATGATGCTGTCCATCTGCCAGTGATAGAGGTGGTTGTGTTGATGATGCAGGCAATTGTGGCGAGTGACGATGACGATGACGGTGGCGATGCGCTAGCGCTGATGGCGGCGATGGTGAATACGTGTGCTCGCGCGAGGTATGATTTCGACATGTGCACGCGCGTGGGTTTGTGGTGTTTTTCCCAACCGTTTTGAATCTACATTGCCTCGCGTTTCTTCCTTTCTTCCCCCCGCCCTGCTCCATCCTCCCGATCATTGCCTCTGCCCTCCAAGTGCCTATTTCGGCACACCCCTCGCACGCACCGTGACCCCATATGGAGCTCATCCCAAGGCCCCAGTGGCACCGTTCACATGTGGACGTCGCCCGCTTCGGCACACCCTTCACACGTTTCGTGGCCCCATAGGGAACTCCACCGAAAGCCCCAGTGGCACCGCCGTTTCGGCACACCCTTTGCACGTTTCGTGGCGCCATAAGGAGTCTCGCCGAAGGCCCCAGAGGCATCACGCCCGTTTCGTCACACCCCTCTCACGATTCGTGGCCTCATAGTGAGCTCCACCGGAAGCCCCAGTGTTTCCATTCGAATGTGGGCGTCGTGCCCTTTCGGCACACCCCTCACAAGTTTCGTGGCCATATAGGGAATTCCATTCAAAACTCCACAAGCACCGCTCACATGTGGGCGTCGCTTCCTCACATTCGTCACACGTTTCGTGGTTTCATCAGGAGCTCCCCCGAAAGCTCCAGAGTCACCGTCCACGTGTGGGCGTCACGCACTTTTCGGCACACACCTCACACGCTTCATGGCCCCATGTGGAGCTCCACCGACGGCCCCAGTGGCGCCGTTCACATGACGGCGTCACGCCCGTTGCGACACACCTCTCACACGGTTCGTGGTTCCACCAGAGAGCTCCACCGAAGGCCCCAGAGGGTCCCATTCCACACGTGGGCGGCACGCCCTTCTTGGCACGTCCCTCACACGTCTCGTGGTTTCATGGGGAGCTCTACCGAAGGCCCCAGTGGCACCATCCACATGTGGGCGTCACGCCCGTTTCGGCACACCCGTCTCACGATTCGTGGCCCCGTGTGGAGCTCCACCGACGGCCCCAGTGGCTGCGTTCGCACAGCGGGCCCGCCTCATTTCGGCACGCCCCTGACACGTTTTGTGCGCATATATCACTTGACAGAGATGACGGGGGGGGGGTCGATACCGATTGGGTTGGCATGGGGTGACTTCGGATGGGAAGCGACTCACGGGGCAGACTCGTGTGTAAGCTGCAATGTCCCAGGGAGTGCCGATGACCCCTTGGCGGGAGGGTGGTAGAGCCTACTCTTTTTTTTATTTTGGTTTTTTGTTTTGTTTTGCTGGTTCTTTCAGAGGAGAATGTGCGTGTGCGTCCAGAAGCGCCAGCCAGCGCGCAAGTCCAGGCGCGTGGCGGGCGCGCGGTGAGGAGCCAGCGCGCGGGGGGCGAGCACGAGGCCGGCAGGGGGCGGGCACCGGGGCAGGGGCGCAGAAGGCCGGCCCAGCCAGCGCACGGGGCGGTAGGGCACGAGGCGGGCACGGGGGGTGCACCGAGCGGAGGGCCGGAAGAGACCCGCTCGACTCCTCGCGGGCCACGCGAGAAGACCTCAGTGCAGGCAACGCTCGGGGAGCCATCGAGGCGTCCCCAGCCCGCCTGCATTTGCGGGGCCCCTCCTCCTCGCCTCTCCTCCCCGTTCTCCCGCTTCTCCCTCTCCTCCTCCACCATCTCCTCCCTGCCTTTCTTCCTGCCCCAGTCCTTCTTCCCCTCCCTCCCGCACTCCCTCTTTCCCCTCCTCCTCCTCCCCCTCCTTCCCCTTCCCCTTCCCCCTCGTCCTCCTCTTCCTCCCCATTTCCCCTCCAGGACGTGCTAGTGCCGCGGTCTCACGTGAAGTCCAGCTACCTGCCCTCTGGGTCCAAGAAGCGCCAGGCGACGCCGACGACGACGACGAAGACGATGGCGAAGCACCCAGAGGCCCACGAAAGGCAAGAGAGGGCCAGAAACGCCCAAATGCCTCGATGCTAGACCCTCGAACCTCGATCCTGGCGACGCCGGCGCCGGGTGGAGCCGCCGACGACGGCGCTGACGCTGACGACGGTGCCGACGACGACGCCGTCAACGACGCTGACGCTGACGCTGACGTTGACGACGACGACGACGACGACGCGGGGCGGCGACGACGCAGCGACGACGACGACGACGTAGACGCCCATGCGGCGGCCGCGGCGACGACGCAGCGGCGACGCAGGCGACGACGCGGCGGCGCTTTCAGGCGACGGTGCGGCAGCGGCCCGCCCACCTGGGCTTCGTCGTCATGGAGAACGCCGCGGGGGCAGAAGCCGCCTTCGCGGCAGGCGCCAAGTGGCGGTCGTCGTGATCGTCGTCGTCGTCGTCGTCGTCGTCGTCGTCGTCGTCGTTGTCATCCTTCCTCTATCCCTTGCGGCCGCCACTCTCTTTCTCTCTCGCCCTGTCCCTGTCTCCCTCGCTTCTACGCGTTGCATTGTTTCCAAGTTTGCTGTGTGTTTGTTGTGGTGCGTCTCGGTCCGTATACTCACTTCCCTCTCAAGAGCGTGTCCTCGTTCGAAACGCCACACAGTAGTTTCACACACGTGCGCAAACAATGATACATCATTCCCCAAACAGTGCATGCACTTGGGGGTTCTCATCTGGCTTTCTCAAGCCCTGCGGCTCGGGCGCCCGCGAGCAGTGGTTCATCGACGACGGCCAGGTCTCTGCCCGCCCGCGCCCTGGGCCACAGCTTGCGCCGCCTCGGCGCCAGCCTCGCGCTCGTCGGCGGCACCCGCGGGACTCCGGCTGCCAGCACCGCCAGGAGCTCCTGCCGCCTCCGCTGCCCTCACGGTGAGCGGCGCCGCTGCGGCGGCTGGGACACGGAGTACGTCCAAGCCACCTGCCACGTCTTGGCCCTGGAGGGACCCACTGGCGTTCGCAGCTGCCGTCGGCAGCCTTGGCGCGCTCGAGGACCAGGTCGCGGCCGTGCTGACGAAGGCCCGCGACGCGCGCTTCGCCCTGCAAGAGGCGGGCCACGCCGCGACGGAGCTGGTTCTAAGGAGGCTCTACGCCGACGTGTCGAAGCTGTTCCGACTCAGCGGGGACAGGGTGAAGTAGGAGCACCTGCAGCAGTTCGACATTCGACAAGGACTTCTGCGATGCCGTGCAGCTCGTCGCGGGCGGTGATGTCGCTGATGCGGCGTGGGAGCAGTGCTCGCCTGGCGTGGGCGCAGGTGGCTTTGGCATGCGGACCGCCTCGCAGGTGTACATTGCCGCCTTCGTTGCTAGCCGGTTGTGTTCGAGGCCTCACGCGCGGGAGATGGCTGCGCGCTTCGCGGAGAATTGCTTGGGCGAGACGGGGGCCATCATGGCCGAGTGCGACAGGCGCACGGACGACGCCGCGGCCCGCTTGGTCTTCAGCCTACCGCCAACAGTAGGTGCCTCGGTTGTGGCTATGCTTTCGGAGGCCGCCGTGGAGGCCGAGGGGCGCTGGGCCGCTCTTTTCGACCAGCACGCGGAGGCGCACGGCGCCGCGCCCCAAGAGCGCCGCGAGCGGCATGCGGACGCAGGGGACGATGTAGCGCTGCGACGGCTCGACGACCTCGGGCACCCCCACTCTGACCACTCCTGGCTCTGGAACCTCTCGCAACACATGGGCTCCGTTATGGACAGCCCCAACTTCGTCGAGGCCGTGCGCCTCCGCGTTGGCGCCGCCGTGCCGCTTGACCGGGCCCCGTGCGGCCTCTGCGGCCAAGGGATCCTCGACTGGGCATGGTCGCGCGCTCTTTGTTGCAGTCGTGCGCAATCAACCCTGGGGCACCACGCGGTGGCGCGCCGCGTGCACGCCGCCGCCAGAGTTTGCGATCTATGCGCAGAGCTCGAGGCCCTGGGCCTGGTGCCAGGCGCGCGCCTCCGACCGGCCGACGTGCTGACTGGCGCCCTTGGCAACGGCCTTCTGGCCCTCGCCGTAGGCCCAGACTGCGCGGCTACCTTGTAATTACCGGCGCAACGTCGAGTGCGGCCCCGCGCGCATTGGTGCCTTTGCGCGGCAGAATTTCACCTTCCAGCCGTTTGTCTACACCTGCTACTGTTGGCCGCGCCCTGGGACGACAGCCATCCTCCGCGCTCTCACGATTCAACAATCGCGGAGGCGTGGCTGTTCTGATGGGGATAGCGGTGCAGGCGGCCGGCCGCGGCCATCGGCATTGAGCCGTGGCGCCGCGCCGCCCGGCCGGTACGAGCATGTTGGCCGTGCTGGGAAGAGGGGGCCACCCAGGCGCTTGCCGTCCGCGCCCCCGCCTCCCCCATAGCCCGCCTCCGCCCGCCCCCGCGCGCGAGCGCCTTATTGTGGAGCTATTGTCTCACGCCCCGCGGCCGTGCCCCCCCGCGCCTCCGCTGCCTGCTCGTGTGCCTCTGCCTGCCTGCCCGCTTGCCACTTCCTCCCTTCTTCCCCCCCTCCTCCTCCTCCTCCTCCTCCTCCTCCTCCTCCTCCTCCTCCTCCTCCTCCGCCTCTCCCTCCTCCTCCTCCTCCTCCCCCTCCTCCTCCTCCTCCTCCTCCTCCTCCTCCTCGTCCATTCCTTCTCCTTGTCGATAATTCCTTCCCGTCGCGCCCCGAGGCAAGTCGGAAGGGCGGGCCGGGCGTTTCGCGTGAGACCCCTTCGCCATGTATGATCCTGAAGCCTAGAATTCGCAAGAGCTTCTCGGATGGAGGGCGGGTGGTTTTCAAACCGTGTCTCGCCTTAGCGCCGCGCGTCCGTTTCAAAAAATTGCAATAGCTTCGGTGGTTGAGGACGTATCGTTTTCGAAATGCGGTTTTTGCCTTAGCGCCGCGCGCACTCGTAAAACATGCAAGAGACTTACGGATGTATGGCGGGCCGTTTTCAAAATGTGGTTTTCGTCTTTGGCGCCGCGCGCATTCGCCATGCAAGGTGGCAAAAATTTTACGGATGGGGGGCGGTTCCTTACATGTGGCTTTCGTCTTGGCGCCGCACATATTCTTTGGAAGAGTTTACACCGAATTCAAGGGTTCTCATGGCTGGCGTTCCACAGTTATGCTTTAGCACAACAATTGCGTTGATTCCTTGTGTTGAAGTCCTGGTAGTTAGGTTCTGACAAGATTCAAGATCGTCAAGACACAACAGTAACCGTGATTCGCGGCGTTGAAGTCCCAGGAATGGTGTTCTAGCACAATTCAGGATTTACCCCGGCGACGCAACGTGGCGATTGGAGGACATTCGTATTCTGTTCCGCCTGTCGGCGGTGCCACGTGACGAGCGGGGCAAAGTGATTTCTATGGTATGACCACCCGCGCGTTGCTGCGTGGTGTGGCGAAGAGAGCAGCTTCTTTTCCGCCCCGTGGCGTTGCCGCTCCACGTGCCCATCGGCCCGCGCAAGCTTGAAGTCGAATTGAGAGCTCTGACTGTGTCAGGGTGGCCGACACGCGCGGAAGATCTTCAAACCAGGGAATCGTGCGGAACGTTGTTGTTCGCCATGCTCCTCCACATGCTTGCGCGCCTGCACGCGTCTGGAAAAACACGGCGCGAGAGTGCAGCCGCTCTGTCCCCAGCTCCCTGCCACTCATGCGCTCGTCACGCGGCTTGCGGTGATACACCCCAGGCGTTGCCACGCGGCGTGTCGAGAGGAACGGCATTTTTTCCACCCCGCGGGGCTGCCACGCTAGGGGTAGAGTGGATCTTGTTTTGCCCCCGGGGCGGTGCCAGGTGGCGCGTAGAGTGGAGTGCTGTTTTTCCGCCTTCCCAAGCGTTGCCACGTGGCGAGTAGGAGCGGATTCGTATTTCTGGTCGCCCCTCGGCGTTGCCACGTGACGAGTAGAGTGGAGCAGTAGTTTTGTTTCGCCCCCCCCGCGCGTTGTCGCGTGGCGTGTCGAGTGGAGCAGTTTCTTTTCGCCCCGTGGCGTTGCGGCTCCGCGAGCCCGTTGGGCCGCGCAGGCCTGCCCTAGAACCGATGTCGGCGCGGCCGATCCGCGGGGAAGATTTCAAAGTCAGGGCACCGAGTGAACCATTTTGTTTCGCCCCGCCCCCCCCCCTTGCCCCACCCCCCCCGAGGCGCTGCCACGCGGCGAGTCGAGTGGAATGCTATACAGTTTCCTCCCTGCGGCGTTGCCACGCCCAGAGCAGAGTGGTTCCTTCTTCGCCCCCCCTTGGCGTTGCCACGTGACGAGTCGAGTGGAGCAGTAGTTTTGCTTCGCCCCCCCGCGC